ACAATAGATAGGAAATAGGAGTAAGAAAGAATATGGTGGATTGGTAGGAAGGAAAGGTTGCAACAAAGGATATAAGGAAGGGAAGAGAGATTGGAAGATAAGTGTGGAATGAAGTAATAAACAAATAGAAGTGAATACACAGGAGTAGGAAAGGTAGAAAGGAAGGACCGAATTCAAGACAGGAAGGAAGCAATGTTGGTAAGGAAATGAGGAGGAATACATGACAGAATTAGAGGTAGTAATAAAAGAAGTAAGAAGAAGTTTAAGAAGGCAATGAGAGGAAGCATGAAGTAATAGACAAAGATCAAGGAACAAGAAAAAGAAGGAAGGGGTAAAGGAAGAAATGAAGGAAGTCAGTGAGCCGTACACGTTCATGTCATGTCAGGAACTCACAAACACTCTGATGATCCTCGCTCACCCTTCTCCTGCGACGACACAATTCATCCAGCATGCTCACTAACATGTCTACACACAGACACAGACAGACACACACACACACACACACCATGTTACTGCCATGTTAACTCTCTGGCTCTGCTCCAGTGCTCAGTGTTTTGCTCTGGCTGCTGAACACACTCAGACACAGCAGGGTGCCTGCAGTGATTAAGTGTGAAGGCGACGTCCTGATTTGAAAGTATAATCATGTGCCCGTGTTTATTGTTGTCTCTCATTCACCCCTGTTCCTAATATGATAATACTCCAGTGGTGCAGAGAATACAGTGCTGCGGTGGCCTATTTATCGAGCCGCTGTTTTAATCAACTCCTACATTTTCACTAAAGATCTCTTCTTTTTCTTGCCGACAGCGGAGGGCCATGAGGACGGCGCCTCAGAAGCTGAGGAACCGTCCCAACGCCAACCAGGCCACCGTGGTCCAGAGCAGCCCCAGAACACGGGTCAACCGTTACATCGGGCGGCTGATCGAGGCCCGGCAGACCGAGTCGGACACGGCGGACCTCAACGTCCTCACACTCATGTATAAATGCTCCGAGCGTGAGCAAAGGGTGAGACACATGACTTGCACGTTGCTATGGAGCCTCAGATCGTGTCGAGGCTCTGTCACTCACTTGTCCTGTCTGTGGCGTCACACAGTACCACCAGGTTCCCGATGAGTACTTCACCAGTGCAGTGGTCGTCTCGCTGATCCTTGCTGCCTTGTTTGGCCTTGTCTACCTTCTCATCATACCACAGTACGTACAACAGACTCTGCCATCGTCATCCTCCTCTCTCTCTCTCTCTCTTTCTCTCTCTCTCTCTCTCTCTGTCCACTCAACTCTTTAATTGACTCTTTTCACTTCCACGGATCCTTGACTTTCTAACTAACCCCTCTGTCTGCCTCTCTCACTTTTCTTTCCCACTCAGGGGCACAGTGATACTTGTCCTTCTGGTCTTCTGCATCTGTTTCCTAGTAGCTTGTATCATGTACCTGCACATCACTAGAGTACAGGTAAACAGAGCTTTCTTATCATCACCTTTCATGACTGAAAGTCATTCTTTTATTTTTTCACCCCTGTTGGTTTGTTTGTTGGTTTGTTTGTGACCAAGATGATGCAAAAACTATTGAAAGCATCACCATGAAACTTGGGGGAAGAATACAATATGGATCTGGGAAGAACCCACATGAGCGGATCAGAATTTTTCTTTTACATTGTCAGAAAGGGCATCTAAAACATTTTCCTTGATTATTCAAAGAGTAATTTATGCTTTTGGCAACATTTTCTAGGGGAATAATATTGGTGCAATTTAGTGAATTTCAATGTGGTTTAATAAGGAGACTTGGTAGAAATACTTTTTATTCTTGTAGCAACTTCTAAATATTACAAATATTAATCCTTTAAAAATGTGGTCCTTGACAGAGCTGGAAAGTTTAATCTCTTTTTGGTCATATTTTATTTTATTTGCTGACCAGTTTTCATGATCACAGTCACTTACTTTCCAACTCCCTATACTTTCTATCTCTGTTCTTCAATCACCTTACTGGCCTCATACTATCCTCTCTCTGTCTGCACATCATTGTTTGATTTAAAGCCGTTATATATGTAAAACACTGGAATGACACAGTAGAGTAAAAACCTCAACAGTCTCACAATGAAACCACATTTAAATCCACTCTCTACATTTGAATGTGGATCTACTCCAGATCGCAGACACTCATATCATCAAATATCATTCATAGTATTCCCTGTGCAAGTGTTACAATATTAAAGTCCCTTTGTCCAGATCCGCTCCAAAATGTACTGGTTTCTTTCTTGGTCCGTGTCCCATCCTTCCATTAAGGTTTGTGGAAATCTGTTTGGTAGTTTTTGCATGATTGCCATTGTTTGTGGTAATAAATGTGTTTTTTTAATCTTCCTGATGCATTTTATCTTCCCTTATGTTTGTCTCAGTGTTTTCCAGGGTGCCTGACCATTCAGATTCGCACTGCCCTCTGTATTCTCATAGTGCTCTTAATCTACGCTGTGGCCCAGGCCTGTGTGGTAAGTGGGAAAGGCAACAGCAAAAATGTCACCTGCTACAAATGACCCACCCCATACTGGTCAACCAACTGCTGCCATATTTTGACTTCTTTTTTTAATCCCTACGTTCCTCCATGTTCCTGCTTGTCCCTGACAGGTGGGCTGTATGCCCTGGCTGTGGGGCAGTGCCAACACCAACAGCTCCATCATCATCATTGATGACATCAGTGGCACTAACCACACAATGGCGGAGTTGCCTTGCGAGGGTGCCCGCTACGCCTTTCTCTCCTGCGTGGTGGGCACCCTCACGCTGGCGCTATTCCTGCGGGTGTCCTGGCTGCCAAAGATGGCACTCATGCTCCTCCTCGGGGTGCTGTATGTCACAGTGTTGGAGCTCAGTGGCTTTCGCAGGACGGCAGGGTGAGGTTCACATCACTCACACACACATACACACACACACACACACACACACATCCCATTGGAGCTTGACGTGAGAGCCCCATGGTCCAATTAGGATTGTGCATCATATGAAAATCGATCAAGCAATGGTTTCCTGTTTGTTAGATGCACAGCAGGAGCAGACGAGTGTTTACAGTACATGTGCTGTGGGTGTGTGTGTGCGTGTGTGGAGGTGTCTTTGCTTGTCTTCGGCCTACACACTCATTCATTTTCCAGCCTTTGAAGCAGCACATGTGCTCATCATTAGTTCCAAATCCGAAGCTCGACAGGACACTGTGGGCTGGATGATGGGCGAGCATAGTTTCAACTCAGCACCGAGAGGCCCTGTCAGAATTATTGGATCCTACATGATAAATGTGCCCCCTGGAAAAATAATAAAGCTGAATCTGCTGTTACTAATATAAAATATGTAGGTTAAGAACAGTTATGCATCAGTAAATGATTATCATATTGTGCAATCCAATATTTTACATAACAATTCTAAGCTCTCTTATTTCATTTTGTGTTTTATTTTCATGCTTGCCCCACAAAAAGCGTTTTATGATTTTAACAAGTTAAATTTTACTCATCGCCGCTCTTGACACTGTGGGGGGTCCAGTCAAACCCGCCTGTGTAGTGCGCTGTGTGGTCTAGTCCCTGATGCTGACGCGTGTGTTGGTCTCTCTTCCACAGTGGGGGGTCCTTCCACATCCGGGGCTATGAGCCCATCCTGTCTCTGTTGCTCTTTGTCAGTGCCCTGGCCCTCCACTCCAGGCAACTCGACCTCAAACTACGCCTGGACTTCTTATGGGCTGTGCAGGTCAGGGAGTGTGTGTCTCTATGCATGTGTATCTGAAGGAGGCTTAAATCTCATCATTATTATTATGTACATTTTAATAGAATAATAGCTTTGATATATGCAAGCGCTTGGGTTGTGTATGAAAAGGATTTGTATTTTTGGGCTGCCAGCTGTCTGTTCTTTGGCGAAGCAAGGTTTCGTTTGGCATCAGAAGTGTAATAAAATGACTATTTTTCACAAGTGTTGAAAAAAAAGCAGAATCTTAAGATATTTAACCCTTTAACTGAGAAGCATTAATCGTGCAAAGATCCCAAGTCTATTGAAAATCCACATATGACACAGACAATCCATGTTGTGAGGCCGTAAAGTTTTTTACTGACCCCATGTGGTGGAAATGTGGAACAGGCTGCAGTGCTCAACCCTGTGTGTGTGTGGTATGTGCTCTCAGGCGGAGGAGGAGAGAGATGGCATGGAGAAAGTCAAGCTGGACAACAGGAGGATTCTCTTCAACCTCCTGCCTGCGCACGTGGCTCAACACTTCCTGCTGTCAAACCCCAGGAACATGGTGAGCCTTGCTAATAGACAGGCAGGCAGACAGACAGAGAACCAGGTAGATAACTGGTAGAAAACACAATCGAGAGCAGAGGACGCCTTTTATCCCACTGTACTGTATTCTCCCCTTTTTGTCCCGTCAGGATCTGTACTATCAGTCCTACGCACAAGTGGGCGTTCTGTTTGCTTCCATCCCAAACTTCAACGATTTCTACATCGAGCTGGACGGAAACAACATGGGAGTGGAGTGCCTCAGACTCCTGAATGAGATCATTGCAGACTTTGATGAGGTAGAAATGCTGTTATTACGCTTCCGGGTCATTCACTTGGATTTGCCGTGTAGTTCTGTGCGTTTATTTGAGTTGTTTGTTTCGCAGCTTATGGACAAGGAGTGTTACAAAGACATAGAGAAAATCAAAACCATTGGCAGTACATACATGGCAGCTGTGGGCCTCGTCCCCACCATCGGTACCAAGGTGAACATTTACTTTGTAATGTAAATGAACATTGTACATTATAATGAAGAGACAAGATATTAAACAATTAATGTACCTCTACTCCTTAGGCCAAAAAATCTGTTTACGACCATCTCAGCACAATAGCAGACTACGCCATTGAGATGTTTGACGTTTTGGATGAAATCAACTACCAGTCATACAATGAGTTTGTCCTGAGAGTGGGTGCGTCTAATCTAAAAGCACAAAAAAAACTATCAGACACCTGATTTCATAGTGTTTTGTATTTGTTCAACACTTACGTGTATTTACACAGGAATCAATGTTGGTCCAGTGGTCGCAGGGGTGATTGGGGCGCGCCGACCTCAGTACGACATCTGGGGGAACACGGTGAATGTGGCCAGTCGCATGGACAGCACCGGAGTACCTGGAAAGATACAGGTACCCAAAAACACCTTTAATCATATCTTTAAATTCACAAAGTGCAACTATAGGATAAGAAAGTGAAAGTTATTCTTCTTCTTCAGGAATGAAATACTGCAAAACTGCACAGTTTTCTTTTCTATGCTCCAACGATACAGATTCCTGCCAGATCCACTGAACAAATGCAAAATAACAATAACAACAATATTTTTTTTCAAAATAAAAAATCTAATTTCAGATTTTGAATAAAAGCTATTCTTAATGAAAGTGAACATTTATGTATTTCTCTCTTATATCTCTTTCATTCAGGTGACAGAGGAAGTCTATCGCCTGCTGAACAACAACTACGACCTGGTGTGCCGCGGCAAAGTTAGCGTTAAGGGCAAAGGTGAGATGCTGACCTATTTCCTGGAGGGGAAGGTTCAGGGTGTGGGCACCGTGACCACCTCTTCGGTGATGCGTTCTGCCAGCTTGGCTCGCCGCATCCACTCCTGTGGGAAGACAAGCGTCCCGACCAATCTGGGCAGCGTCTCCACCGCCAGCCTGGCCGCTCACGCCGGCGTGGGCAGCAGCATCCAGTTGAACACCGCCAACAGCAGCAACAGCCAAGTGACTTGTCTCCCTTCCTCCTGTGTGCCTGCAGTGGGTGAGGAGGAAGAGGAGGACATTGAGATGACAGAGATTGAGGCTGTGACCGCTGCTGCAGATGTAGCAGTGTAGGAAGGAAAAACAGGGACTGTAAACCAAGCTGAGAAAAAAAGGGAAAGAAAACCCTGGCTGGAGGCCGAGAGACGACGGGGCTGTTCAGGTATTTCCTTTAAATCCAGAGCTACTGGCAAAACCCAGAATATGCTCATTCAGGATATGAACTTTCAGAGAGATGAGGTGGTGATACAGACAATCATACTCACTTTTAGGGAAGACAAACGAGGAGTGAAGGAGAAAGATGCCCAGAATCTCAAATCTTCTTTTTAACATTTCTATACCAGATAATTAGATGTGTGGTGTCGCTGGGTTCCCTCAGATCCAGGTATAATGTGCATCTTCATTTTATATATTTCTATTCTACATATTCCATGTGCAGGGGATATGTGCATTGATATCCTTAAAAAAAAGACTGATCATGCTATTTGCTTTTGCATTGTCTTTCTGATTATGCCAAGGATGCATTGCATTATTTATGGTGTAAAATGGTGTTTCTTTTTTTTTCACGGTGTATGTAAGCATGCATGTGTGTACCTGTGAGCGTGTGTGTATGCATGTGTGGTTTTAATTCTGAATTGTAACGAAACAGCACAAAGTACTTTTTTTTATACTCCAAGCACATTGGATGAAACAGGCTTTTTTCCCCCTGATATCTTCAGCGTTAGTAGTGCATGACTTTTTAAAGTTGACAGCCATAGTGACTCCAGTTGAAAGAAAACCAAAGTAACTGAGCTTTCATATATCTTTATTTTTGAACCCCCTTACATTGTCTCACCATCAGAGAGAAGGCAGTAGGATGAACATATTCAGCATGTTGCTCTTTTTGACGCTTTAAGTGTCTTTTTTTAAACCCAGGATAAGATTTCACAAATACTTGATGTTCTTACATTGCCCCAATTCACAGACAGCGGTGGGTTTGATAGTGAAGATGCGGCAAAGGACAGTTTAAAAACCTAAAAAGATATTTTACTATTTGGACAACTGGACACAAGCTGAAATGCAAAGACTGGACCAGTCACAAAGGATTGATCAGGACCAATACACGTCTTTGTATAATGTGCATTTATCCACACAGAAGAGAGCACATCCATTACTTGAGCGTGCACACACACACACACACACACACACACACACACACACACACACACACACACAACCTCCTCAGATGCACAGCCTCGTCCTTCACTCCGGCCTCTGCACATGATTCATGTACATTCACATATTCCTCCCCCTGTGCAGTGTCTGGCTGCCTTCGTCATTCAGGCAAACGTTATTCCCCCCCGGCTTTTCGCTACAGTCGAGCTGAACAACTACAGGCTTTAGCACCTCTCTCTTTCAGATACAGCCTCAGAAAACATGGGGCGCTTCAGATATCTTCAGATATCCTCTTTATCAACGTATATATACATATATATAGAGAAATATATGACACTTTGACTTGATCTGCAAAAGTGTAAATACACCATGTTTCAAGTTTTTTGCCTTACTCAATAAGCTTACCGTGATTGCAATCTGCCTTTTTAGATATATTCACTTTGATATGCAGATCATACTTTTTTGTAAATAGCCAAAAAGCTGTAAACTATGTTGTATCTTGTACAGTTTAAATTTGGGTTATTGAATATTTTGTAATAAAGACAATATTGGTGTATAAAATATAACAGTAGTACTGTGAATGTTAACATTTTATTATTGTGGTACCAGTATATAAAATGCAGGGTTTAAAGAGCAATATGAGACACACAATAATCTTCAGCGGTTAACAAATATAACTTTTTACGGATCATTTTCTCGGTTCCATTCCATAAAATTTAATTTCTCACACTTTATTTTATGGCTCTTAAAAAAAACTGCTTTTACTCTACACAGCAAGTTGTGACAAACAGTGACAGTTTATTATACCAATCAATATACTCCCACAGACCATGGCCAGGTAAATGTCAACAAATGTAAATGTCACAAACACTGAGCAGGGGGCACGGAATGAGTGTGGGGTTCACCATGACAGCTGGGTCAGCGAACGTCACGCTCAACCATCTTCAGTTTAGCACTTTTTGAGGTTTTGGAATAAAACTAAAACAGAAACTAAGAACATCTGTTGTTACGGTCAAACCTTCACGACCCCAAACTAAAGTTGGACATTAATCCATGAAGGGAATCCAAGGTAAATGACCGTTCACAAACAACACTCCCCCTGATGTCATCGTGGCTGAAATGGGTCACAATGGGTGAATGAGGTCATAGTATTTCTAAAAACCTCTTAAAAACCAAGAAAATGGTTGAGTGGTTTTTGATATTGTTTCAATAGAGCTGGGGGAAACAAGGCACACATCAAAATAGATCTGCACTTAGTGGAGTGCATACCTCTGCCCAAACAGCCCCTAAGCTGCACCACATTTCACACACTATAGAGATAAATTATTCTCTGAGAAATCAAGGAAAACAAAGGGACAGGGGTGAAAACATAAGGTAGGAGGTAAAAATGTACAAAAGAAAAGCAGCTCAGGCCGCTACATCCTGAATTGAGCTCTGAAAACCCATCACTCATCAAGTGGTGAACCTTTACAACAAATTGTTAACATTTGAACAGCTTTAAAATTGATATTTATTACAATAGAGGTTTGAAATTGTTGAACCTTTGGATAAGGTTACACATCTTCATTCTTCACTTCACTTCAGTGGAAGAAAAGAAACAGAACCAGCTGTGATGTGTGTGGAGTTAATCCTCTGCACCTGATGTGAATCACCAGCTAATGAAAACCTGACACTGCAGGATCCCCACATGTCAGCAGAGAAATGGACGTTCAACAGCAGAATGTAAGTTTTACTCCACTGTTTTATTTTAATACAGACAATATTTTATTCAAGTATTATTTTAAAAAATGAACTTGCCATGCTAATTCTCTCTGTACTTACAAATGTCATGGCGGAGCAGAGGCCTTATCTGGAGCCCATCCAGGAAGAGTCGGAGCAGGAGGATGAAACTGGAGGAAGTGGAACAGAGGGAGAGGAGGATTTTCAAAGTGAAGTGGGTGTGGAGATGGAGGAGGAAGTGGCAGAAGAGGAAGAAGAAGAGGAGGAGGAAGAGGATGAGGATGATGATGATGCCCCTCTGAGGGTTCTGAGACCCAGGCGATTGTCTCGTTCCCTCAGCAACTCAGAGAGTTTCCTTCAGTCGCACTCGGCTGACAGTCACCAGAGAGACTTGGACAATAGCTCAGTGTCAGATGCAGTGGATTTAAGTGATGAGGCTGAAAGTTCTTGGCAGCAAAAGTTAGGAAATGAGAAACAGGCCATTGGTCGGGGGCTGAAAGGGAAGGTAAACGTCTCTGTCATATTTTCCAATCGTAGAAAACATTCAACATCATATTCAGATGACAACATAGTGATCTATTGTTTTTTATAATCTCCTCCAAGAATCTTAAAACACCTGAAACATCGGTGCAGAGAAAGAGGAAGAGGAAAAGCCACAAGAAGACGTCACAATGTGTGAGTGCTAATTTCAAACAAAGATTTCACCTCCAGAAATAGTGATCACAATAGGTTTATTTAGTTTTTTGTTTTTCTAAGCTGTTTCCTCCGTGGGTGGTGGAGCTGATGGTCAACATCGAAGAGGCAAAAAAACACCGACTGGTGGTTGAGTAACGCTTGTCCGCTCATGAGCTGAACGTGGGGACGTTGTGCACATCAGGCTCTGACCTTGTTCATACTGAATGTAGAACAAACCCAACACACAAATAAAACACACCATGTGAAGGGTGAGCATGGGCTGAGAGTAAAGTCAACCAATGAATAAACACAAGAAAAAAAAAGCTGATTAAGAAATATTGGTTTCATGATAAAAGTTCATGAAGTTCATGTTCTCTTCAACACTTTGATGTATCTTGAAATACAATTCATTAAACAAGTCATTATACTTTTGGCATGAGTGACCTACAGAACATGTTACTAATAAATGGTAGATTCCTTTTTCTCGGCCCTGAGCTTCAGGCTGAACCCTTTTACCTTTCTCCCCATTGGTGCGTTTTGATTCAAGTGACCAAGTAAAACGCTGTTAGAGGCCAAAGCTCTCTCTCTCTCGCTCCACGGTCAAACACACAGCTGGTCGTATATTAACTTTTGTCAGAGCAATACGTTTATCTCTGCTGGGTGCAACTTGTCTTTTGGTTTGTTGGCAGTCAGATAATGTCTTTATTCAAATGAGATTCTTTTTTTTTGACAATCTAAATAGAGGGAAAATATTAAAAAGTGTTCTGAGAGAAATGTACTTGTGTTGTGTCTTTGTACACCTAAATTCACCTCAGTCAAATCGTATATTCTACATATAGAACCTGAAGTATCCACAACCTATACTTTAAGAATAATACTTGTTTCTCAGATGAAGTAAATGTAGAACAGCGTCCCTGAATCAAGACCTTCCTTTTAGTCAGGCTTTTAATTTAATTGAATTTATTTATCCTTTTATCTACTACTTCTTATTTACTTTTGTAGAATTGTTGTTTCTTCTTTCTGGTTTTATTTAATCCTCTTATAGCTTTTTGTTTTTATTTTACCTTCACTTTAGACCTAATTTTCATGTCTTTTCCAGTATTTTATAATTTTGTACTTCCATGTTTACCTGCCTGTGGTGTTTCCTCATTTCGAATTTGTGAGGTTTACGACAGCGTCAGTCCCTAAATGTTGTTTTGCTCTGCGGATGGATGGGGGTGGGGGGTATTGGTTTGATCATCCCTGTGTCTTTTATTCTATGAAGGACTTTGTGGGCTACACAAATAAATTCTGATTGATTGATGTAAGTCGTCAGTTAGAGTTCAAACGCCCACATCCCCAACAGCATCCAGGACCTTGACTGACCATGGATGAAGAAACACATTCATCCTCCTACACATGCTGCATGGGGCGGTCATGGGTACTTCCTATTAAAAATACAGCAAAACTATAATACTACAATAATAAATACTTCAATTGATCCTGATCATTTTATGAATCGTTCTTGGCTGAAGCATCGTTTCTTTGTTATTACATGTCTGAATGGGGGGGTCATATTGAGTCCATAGCCACAGTGTGTGTGTGTGTATATACGTGTGTATATCACACATAGTGTACCAATGCATTTGGCATTGGATAGTTATGACAAATACTACACCAAGGAAACAAGCATTTACTACTGTTCTTCAGACAAACATGTTGTGCTCCTAGTAGAGCGACTCATAATGTTAGGGTTATGCAATGTTGAAGGCAAATGACCTTGTTTATCTGTCTACCTGATAAAATGAGCATCCACCAAAGAGACTGAAGGGACAAAATAGGGTTTGAGTGTCAAAACAGTGTCAAAGCACAGTTTGAGTCCACATTACTCAACTGAATAAGTGTTTGACAACACACACGCACAGTCAAACGTTTCCCTAATCAGCTGTTATTCTCTCACAGCCTGTATGGTTGGATGTTTATTATCCTCCCCTTTACTGAAAAAGCAGTATCCATGTGATCCTTTTTCAAAAAAAGGTTAAAAAAAAAAGAAAAAATCTGTAATTTCGTCGCTCCCAAAAAAACAGGGTTGTTTTGATGTACAATCGCTTTATGTTCCAAAGTCAATATTGACAACAGACCTTGTGAACCTGGATCTACGCACGTCAAGCTGGGTCATCCTGCGTCTACAGCAGCTTTGTCAAAAATATTTTATATCTGTGGCCGCTGTCAATCATTAACTCCCCTGGAGGCCAGATGTCCATATAAATACTGCTGGTTCAGAGAAATCACTTTAGAAGGAAAACTACAGTCACACAGAGCAGCTGAGAAGAAAGAAGATAGTAATCCTGTGACCAAAGATGCCTGGATTATATGAGAAGCTGACGTTTGTTGCAGGAGTGTCCCTGGTGGTCTTGGCCGTGGCAAGGTCTTCCCCATTAGTGGTCCAGGAGCCAATCCGCTGTGCCCCCTGCACCCAGGAGAGGTTGAACAGCTGTCCCGCCATCCCGGCAGGCTGCAGGCAGGTGCTGAGGGAGCCTGGCTGTGGCTGCTGCATGGCCTGCGCTCTGGAGAAAGGGGCGTCCTGTGGGGTTCACACGGCCCACTGTGGCGAGGGCCTGCGCTGCACTCCCAGGCCTGGTGAGGCCAGACCCCTCCACGCTCTGACCAGGGGACATGGAGTCTGCACTGAGGACGTGGGCCAAGGTAATAAAGTTTTTCTCAGTTTCTGCATAATTTGAATCATAATCTTCACGGAGTTGTAAAAACATTTTTTTAAACACCTTGGTAAAAAAATATTTCTTTGACTTGTGTAGAGGACACTGAAGGTGACCATGACTCCCTGCACTACATGTTGGGTCTCAACCTTCCCTTCGACCAGCAAGACCTTGCTGAGGGCCACGAGAGCATCAAGGCCAAGGTCAGACTGATGCAACAGGTGAGGAGAGACCACATGAGGATTCAAATATTTATACTTTCCATCCAGAAGAGGGAGCAATTGATTTTAAGGGAATTAATTTATTAATTCTCTTTTTAGTCTCAGGGACCCTGTCATGTTGAACTCCACACAGCGCTGGACACAATCAACAGCTCTCAGCAGAAACTGGGAGAGAAGTTCACCACCTTCTACCTCCCCAACTGTAACAAGCGCGGCTTCTACAAGGCCAAGCAGGTGAGGAACTTGAACGTTCACACAAATCAAATTCAGAGATGTTCCTTATACCAGGTGATTTATTTGCGTGGTTTCTCCACCTCTGTTCCTTCTTCAGTGCGATTCGTCTCTGGTTGGACCTCCTGCTCGCTGCTGGTGCGTCTCCCCCTGGACTGGGAAGAAGATCCCAGGGTCGAGTGACCTGCTCGGTGACGCAGAGTGTCATCAGGAAATCACACTCTGAAGGGATCAACGTCTCCACACGCACCCAGATGCATACAGATAGAAGTCATTTAATATCTGCATGCCTGGAGAACTGACTTCAGTTTATTTACCAGATGCATGCATCAAAACTTATTTATTCACTACTTGTATATTCTTCTTTGTCGTAACTATTTTTTTTAATATGTTTTCCTTTTTTTTCCACTTGTAAATAAGGCAACACTGTATACATTTGAGTTTCTGACTAAACAACTCCATTGCTCAAAACCACAGGTCCACAGCTATGCCAAGAGTTTTCAGGATCTTTTTTTTTTTCATTCATTCATTTAAAAACCATACAGCCGCTCATTCATTCAACATGTTGACATTGTCTGAATGTATCTCCATTGGCGTTTCCTCAATGGGTATCGGTGGGATACTTAAAGTGCCGCAGGTATTTGTGCACAGCGGTCAAGCACAAACATTTACGCATTTGTCTACCTCTACTAGTCTCTACAGGTTTAGCAGGTTTAACGCTGAGGGTTCAGCTCAGCAACACTTTTCTCACATTTATTTGTCCAGTGTGTCACTGAGGTCATCATGGGTCTTTGTTTTATTCTATTCTTGTATTTATTATGATTTCTTTGTGTTTATGCTTTTGTTTGTTGTTGACATCATGCATAGTGAATGCAAGGAATGCTGCTATTCCATTATTGGTTTTGTTA